AATCACCTAGCTAAGTCACTTTTTTTTCCCATTTATTTTTTTATTGATTTTTCTAAAAATTAAATGACATCGGAATGGATTACAATTCTTATTACACATATACAGCACAGTTTTTCGTATCTCTGGTTGTATATAAAGTATGTTGACACCAATTTGTGTCTTCATACATGTACTTTGGATAATGATGTCTATCACATTCCACTATCCTTGCTAATCCCCTGCCCCTTCCCTTTCCTTCCCACCCTTCTGCCCTATGCTAAGGCACTTTTGATTCCAACAGAAACTGCAAAAACAGTATGAAATTTATAATACACGTATTAAATGTTGTTAAGCCCCTAAAATTTGGGATAATTTATGATGCACTAATGGTTAATAGTTCTATACATAAGGGGCAAGGATGTAAGGAAAAAACTGACCTGTAGTTAAGGTCTGTTTTAGGGTCAATGTGGAAGGAGAGAGAAACTGAAAAGTGTTGAAAAGACTTGAGTTTGAAATAAATGACTGTAGGGTCCAGGATAGAATGGGAAGAAGTAAATCCAGTGAAGGGGAACAGACTTGGAGAACTAGGAAAACTGTAAGCCAGCAGATTTCACTGAAGTTGAAGAGCAGGTTTGGTGAGTGCAAAGGACTAAGAAATCTGAAATAAAAGAAGGATTTGTTTAGAACATGAACTGCCATGGCTGCTGATATTCAGAACAGTTCAGGAGAACAAAGTGCAGGATATGGTCCCAGAAATGAACAGCAGCAGTAATGAAAGGCTTTTATACTGGTGTTAAGGTCACAGTGGACAATGATAGCACACTTGTCAAAAATCTTCTCCCTAACAGTCAAGGAATGGAGATTACATGGCTTAATGGTGAAAGCCTCAATGTAGATTGGTTTGGATATTGTAGTGACAAGTTACAAGAATGTCAATTTTTATTCCTGGTTCAAGACATGGAAAGTGGGAGAGCAGGAAGAAGTCTCAAAAGAACTTCAAGAGAACCAATGAATTTAAGGAAAATGCAAGATTCTAGACAAGGTAAAGAGGTGGCAGCAGTGCTCTAGGAAAAGGTGAGATATACAGCTAGCACAGGCTTGCTTGCAAAAAAACACTATAATTTTTATTTTGTTGGTAATTAGGAGTCATGGAAAAATTTAAGAGAACTGATACAATGAGTTTTTGACTGCTCACTCTCACTAGCCGTAGAAATATGATGGACGTACTGGGCAAAGGCTACACTGAAGTTCCTGTGAAGGAAAAGGGTTTGTAAAAAGCCCAATCCACAGAGGTGATAAGGACCTGTCACTCCACTAAAATAATGAAGCTTGCTATTTGGGAAGCAGAAACTACTAAAATTCAATGGAAGGCGAGGGTGCTGAATGAAGACAACTAATAATTACTTTCCAATCCATTTTAGATTGTTCAGAATTGTTTTTTGATAATCCTTTGAACCTGGGTATGTAATTCTAAGGTATCTCCAGTTTATTTTTTTCTGTCTCCTGGATCTACTTATGTTATCTAATATTTGATATTCTACTCTTTTGACTTGATATTTCCATTCTTAGTACACACTTTGGCTATTATCAGTGTGGTAATAAACTCCCTAAAAGTAAGAATTTAAGGGCCATATTATATAGAGAAGAGCAGTCAACAAAGTCCAGCTCCAGTACTGCCATGAAATTCCCATTGACTTTGGTTAAATCATTTGACTTCTTAAGATCTCATTATATTTTTTCAGTACTGAGGATTGAATCCAGGGACATTATACCACTGAGCCACATTCCCAGTCTTTTTTTATTTTTAGACAAGTCTTGCTAAGTTGCCCAGAGTGGCCTTAAACTTGTGATCATCCTGCCTCAGCTTCCCAAGCTACTTAATTAATGGCATCCACGACCATAACTGATTTTTCTTTTCTTTTTTTAAAATGTAGAAACAAATCTCTAAGGACTTACCCATTCTAATTTGCCTTTCACAGACACTTTTGTCATAATGGTGAGATCTACCTTTACCAATATAGCATGACAATAAAAGAGTGGTAGATAGAAGGCATCTTGAAATTTAAGGCCAAGCTGCTTAGTTGGTAGGGGAATGAAGCTTAGACAGGTATTATGCTTTTGTACATTTTCCCAGGCTAGAGGTAGTTATAATTATTTGTGTCTAATAGAATAATTAAATCTTAGTTTTGGGGCCTGGAGATATAGCTCAGTTGGTAGAGTGCTTGCCTTGCATGCACAAGGCCCTGGGTTCAATCCCTAGCATCACACCCATACCCACCTCCCCCCAAAAAAAACAAACCAACCAACCAACAAAACAAACAAACAAACAAACAAAAAAACCACTTAAGTTTCTTCTTTGTAAGTGTAGGGTGACTCTCATTTTATTGACCACACACTTCCTGGAGCCAAAGTACCTTCACATGAAATCATGGTTTTGCTAATTACTAGCCTGTTACCTTGGGCAAGTTATTTAAACATTCTATGGCTTAATTTCTTCATTCATAAAATTGGGCTAGTATGAGGCACCTGGAACAGAGAAAGCCCTGGATACATTTTAGCTATGTGTTAGGCACAAGAGTACACAGATCTGGTGGGCCCCTTGCCTTAAAAAATTGTTATCTATAGTCAGGAATTTTCAAATGACCATAAATTAGTGTTCTGCGCTTTGTAATAACGTGTGTAGTAAGTGATGTGGGGACAGACATGGGATTGACTGCCTGTTTCATCCTATAGGGAATGATAGGGGTAGGGAAAGTTTTTTGAGGGTAGTTTGAGTCTGATCCTTTAAGAAGAAAATATTATGAAGCAGCTAGAGACAAAATGGAAACAGTAGTTTCTGATTGCAAAAAAGTAAAATAAATAAAAATTATTAGGAAAAAAGGGGAGTGAGGTAGAAAGTAGTGGTTGACAGCACCATCACTTAGGAGCTCGTTAAAAACTACGTCTGACCTTTATCAAGCTATTTAACCTCCTTCTTCCGCCTCAGTTGCCTTAACTATAATTAGGGATAATAACAGTTTCTACCTCAAGAAGTGGTTGGTAACTATACTAAACTTTAAATTGTTTAGAACAATGGTTGGCACCTAGCAAATGCAGGTAACCACATTCACTTAAATGCTGCTTCTCATGTAAGGTTCCGTTTTTATAAGTCCTTGTATTTCCATTTCTGTCATTTTGATATTCCTTGTACAGAAAGGACACTTGGAGTTCCAAAAGACTTGGGGTTACACAGCCCAGTTATCAATTCCTAGCTGTGTGAAACTGGATGAGTTCCAGTTTCATTCATAGCATGGGGGATATATAAATTGTAGATGGACACAGTACCTTCATTGTATTTATTTTTATGTGGTGCCAGAGACGGAACCCAGTGCCTCATCCATGCTAGGCAAGTGCTCTACCACTGAGCCACAACCCCAATTAATTAACTGGATTTTTTTTCTTTAGAGAGTGAGAGAGAGTGAGAGTGAGAGAGAGAGAGAATTTTTTTTTTTAATATTTATTTTTTTGTTCTCCGGGGACACAACATCTTTGTTTGTATGTGGTGCTGAGGATTGAACCTGGGCCGCACGCATGCCAGGCGAGCGCGCTACCGCTTGAGCCACATCCCCAGCCCTTAATTGGATCTTAATTACAATTGCCTGAGATGTTGCAAGGCTCAAATCCAAGAATGTATGTTAAATTTTACAAAGTCTTCTATTAAGATTTCATTTACCATCTTACCAAGAATTCTTAAGCTACTGGCCTCAAACAAATGTACTGGAAGATCAAAGAGGAAGGGTAAGGTAGGGTAAGAAATTTAAATGCTGTCACTTATTTTCTCTTCCTATCCACCAACACCAATGATCTCACACATTTGTTCATATTGGTTCATAATTTATAAAAAAAAAATTTTATCTAAGTTGTGTATCACAACATCCCCACTGGGTAGTATTCCTACTTTCCTTTCTTCTTTTTTTCCCCGCGGAGCTGGGGAATCAAACCGAGGACCTCCCGCACTCTACCACTCAGCTGCTTGCCCAGCCGCAACTCTTATTTTTCGAGAAGGAATGGAAATAGCAGAATGCATAATAAAAACTCCTTTTGACTTAAGCATTTCTACAGCATTCTATATTACCATAAGGACAAAATTTAGAAAACTTTGCTAGAATCTTCAAAAATACCAGGCACTGGCTTCGATCTCACGGCCCTGAATAACAATATACTGGGCGCTTTTCTATCTGTAAAGTATGGGGTGACAAGACCTTTACAAAATTGTTGAGTGATTAAACAAGACCAAAGGCTGAGGGTGAACCTACCACGTTGTAGTGCCTCAAATAAACCCCTTCTGCTTCTTTCCTTTGACAGATATAGCGCCAGATACCATTATCATTCCCACTTCACGTATGCAGGAACCCGGTCGAAAAACCTCCGGTTCTCCTTCTCTACTCGCAACTCCGTTACCCCGAGATCGGGCACGATCTCTGCGATGTTCACTGTTCTCGTTGCGTGGACTATCTCTTCTCGAGTGGTCGTCTAGGCGGCTGGAGGACACTGATATTTGCCCCCACGACGCTGAGGAATCTGATCCTAATCCTCAATCGCCCTTCAGAAACGAAGCTATGTACCTAACCTCGCTGGAGTAAAGGTCGCCAAGAAGCCTCAGCTCCAGATACCAGCGCCATCTTGGCCGCTACGTGTGGCGTCACACGTAGCAGAGAGAGCAGTCGATTGGCTGCAAGACAGCAGCCGAAGGAGAGGCGCGCGAAGCCGGAGACAGGAGGGTATGTGGGAGAAGCCAAAGCCAAAGGAACTACAATCCCAGCCTTCTTTGCGCGTGCGACGGCAAACCGGGAGCGAAAGAGGATGGAGTTTGGATTCGGACCACAACTCCCAGCAGCCCACGCGATGCCTGCCCTTTCAATACGCGAAGGAAAAGAGGGACAGGATGAATGGAGGGCCTTTTGGTACCCGTTCTTCGAAAGGCGGGAAAGGCGAACTACACCTCCCGACCTGCAGCGCGCGGCTGCGCCTGCGCCCTGGTACTTGTCGCCATCTTGCCCCTTCTGAGGCACCGCAAACAAACCCAATTCCTGGTGTCTCCTAGTCTTGGCGGAGGAGCATTTTAGATGAGCCCCGAAAGGCCGGGCAGGTGGGTGACTCTTAGGCAGGGTCCTGGGAAGAATTGGCAAGCAGCCAGGGCAGAGGAGTGCCGAGCCAGGCATTCGGAGCCCGGCTTGGGGCGCCCAGCCCCATCCTCCGTTGTTTCCTAACGGGATCGTGGGGCTCCTGGAGGTGGACTGAGGGGACCTCCGGCAGGCCTGGTGCTGGGATGCCGGGGTCCAGCTCTGGCAGCCTCCCGTCGAGTCCGCTCTGGCTGGCTGTCCCCGCCCCTACTCTTTCTCCGTTGTCCTCTCCGCTGAGGAGGGAGCGCGGCGCGGATGCCGGCTGGAGCCCCTGACACCGGCTGCTGGCTGAAGGGACTTGGGTCTCGCGGGCTTGACATTGGGATCGGCTCTGAGAGGCGCGGGCGCAGGGCCTGGGCGGGCTGCTCTTGTTGTGGTGGTGAGAGAGAGTGCGTGTTTGCAGAGGGGGCGGGGCGGGCATGCCTCCTTGACACTTGAGTGGGGGAGGATTCTACGAGATCCGTGTTCCGAGAGCGGGCTCTGGCAACCACTGCCCGGTTTCTGATGCGCTGCGGCCGGGCGGTGGGTTCTGCTGGCGGGGACGCGTTGGGATGCCGTGACGTGGTGCTCGATTCCGGCGGTCGCCGGCCGCCTTCAGGATCCTATCGGGAGGCGGGGACAGGCTTGTGGAGGGAGAGGATTCCTTTGGCTCTGCCCCTTCTTCCTCCTCCACACCCCTTTTCTTTATGTCATCCTGCCAGCTGCGGCGCGCAGTCCAGTTCTGCTTGCTCTGGGTTGGTTCTGAGCTGAGAGGACTATGGGAAGTAGGGGGAGGGGGGCTCAACTTCGGGCGTAGAGTCGGAGTTAGCAGCCCCAGCACCTGGAACAGGATACACAGTTGTTTTTGTTCAGTGTTTTACTCCTAGGCTAGACAGTGAGCGCATTCATTCATTCATTCATTCATTTTATTCTCCCGCCAGCCATTCTTTTAAATCTGTTTTGCAAATATTTACAGCGGGTCTACAGTGTGCTAAGCAGGTTTTGTGTGAACACCCAGCGCTGTGTCTTTTTGTCTTCTAGACTAGGGAATTCCCAGTAGGAAATAAGTTCCTGGCATCTAAACTTTCGGCAAGTAATGGTTTAAAGACTACAGGGTCTAAATTAATATTTCATGGCTAAGATTTGACGGGAGAGTTCTTTATTGAGTTCCATTAACCCAAGTGACACGCTAGGAACCTTACCTATTTATCTCAAGAGGAAGCTCAGGGAAGTCAACTATCGTGTCCAAGGTTGCACAGGTACACGCGTCTATTTTTAAATTACATGTCAGCCACTATGAAAGAACTTGACATGCACTGTTCTTTAATACTCAAAACAAACTGGTAGTATTTACTCTGTTTCAATAGATTTGTAAAGTGTAGGTTCAGAGAGGTCAGTTTACCCAGGATCACACAACCAGTAAATTGGAACTAGGAACTGACTCTAAAGCTTATGATCTTTCCTGTGATAGTAAACTCTTCAATGGTAATTTAATTTTTCACTTGTCAGAAGTTGGAAAGTGTGGTAGTAAAACATTATTGTGAGACATCTTACTGTTTTTAACTTCTTAACCTGTGGATGGATTTCCAGGTGAGTGGCCTTTGGAATGTACTTTGGTAATTTGCTATTTTGTTTTTACTTCTGGTAGGGAGGACAAGCTCTTTGGGGCTACCAAACAGAAGCAGCAATGCCTGTTGTGTGGCCAACCCTTTTGGATCTCAGCAGGGATGAATGCAAAAGGATTCTTCGAAAATTGGGTATGATTTTCATTTTTGATGAAATGAAATGATGTTTCATTATTTCATGCTATGATGTTTTCCCTTTCAATTTGGATCATGGTTGTTTGTATGGATGTAATATCTCCTGATATACCGCAGATCCTTTGGTGGTATAGTCCTCACTTTTCTTGTTATTTTTCCAGTGCTTAGCATGGCGATTCGTACATAGGAGGTGCATGAATCATCATAATATGAGTAGTTAAGACTCATTGAGAGCTGTTTGACTATTCTGGGTCCATTACACTCAATATCGCACATAATTCTCACTTAAGCCTAAAAGGTAGGGGTTCTTTTTTTTGGTCCTGTATCTTGAAGATTGAAGGTTGGAACCCAAGATAATGCTGACAGTAAGTCTTGGAGTCAGTATTTGATCTAGAGAATATGATTTTCAGTCACACWTTAGCATATGTGTGAATTATGTACTATTTTTGTATTCTCAGTTAATGCAAGATTTGCCTTCTTTTCTAACTTATATTTTATTAGTATCAGAAATAAAACACACTTTACATTAATAATATACAATTTAGCGCTTCTTTTTCCTTATAGCAACCTTTCTCAACTGACATTTAGGGAGAGAATTAAGTCCTAATGCCAAGGCATCTATTGTATGTAATGGACTGACTTCTCCCATGCATCTAGAATGGTGTTAGTCATGTGTCATCATTGGTAAAATTTGAGAAAAAGTTACCCAAGTTGTTTTCTGTGTTCTTTGATTCAGATGAAGATCCATAGTTGAGAAATGCTGCCTTAGACTCTAAGGCAGACTTATCACTGAAGTCTCAGGCTAGTATAATAAATGAAGTAAATGAAAAATAACTTGAAAAAGGAAAGCAAATGTGTTGGCAGTGGGTATAAATTACTTAGATAAGGGCCTGTGATGATTCCTGACATCTGAGCATGTTTAAAGTAGTTACTTTCAAACATCACTTATTTGCAGCTAAATCTTTGCTTCAAAGGAAATCTTTGTTGGGAATTCTTGTATTTAAATTAGATAGAATCATCACTATTTTAGCCCTGCCTTCTAATAATTCTTGCCCTTTTTATTTCCCTCCCTCAGGCTACTTTGAGGATTTCAAACCACTTCCTAGTATTGTATTTTAGCAAGTTGAAGAGAGTTATTTTTTCTGGGGGTGTGCTGGAAGATGTCAATCGTTCATCTCTTTAAAATTTTATGCTATATCTCAACTTTTAGTACTAATTTGAAGATCGTTTTCTATGCGCTAGCAATTAACATACTTTCCTATCTGCTGATTATAAGTGAGACTCATATTTATTTCATAACTGAAATTGTTACGGAGGAACAGACAGTAGATTAAATTAGAGTTTCTAGGTTTTGGGGCCTGAATCTAGATGTCATATTTTAATATAAAAATGGTAACCCAGTATCTGTTAAGTCTAAATTTATCCCTAGTTGTTCTCATAAATGGCTGAAGTGATCTATGAAAATGGTTAGTTATTCATGTGACCAAGAAAACCCTACAAAAGCAAGAGGTTAAAATCTTCATGTTCACTTTAAGCATACCAGTGAAGCTGCCCAGACTGTTAARGGTATGCATACCTGAAAAGCCACGAAGTATCTGAAAGATGTCATTTTGTAGATGTGATGAGTACCATTCTATCATTACAATGCTAGGAGATTTGCCCAGAGCAAACAGGAACTGGATACAGGGTCAGTATCTGGAAAAGAATGCTGAATTTTTGAAGCACATGCTTTAACACACAGTGAATAATGCTGAACTTTGGGGTTTATGTGTAGATTTTCTGGTCTTTGAGTATATCCAGGTGAACAAATTAGTTTAGGATCAGGTTAACCCATTCATGAGCTCCCCCTTTCACATCAAGATGATCCTACTGAAAAGGAACAAGTTATTCCTAAACCAGAAAAGAAGGTTGCATGAAAAAAGAATGTATCAGAGAAGAAACTGAAGAAACAAAAATGTACAGTACAGAAGTAATTCATTATAAAATAAATGCAAATTTAAAAAAAATTAGAGCTGTGTGGGTAATGCTGCTGGAGGAAAACAGCTATCCTACATGGTAATATCATCTTCTGTGACCCTTTGGGAGTGTGAGTCTTCTTAGWGATTTGCCAAAACACTTCCTCCCCACCTGTTGGCTCATTATCATAACAACAAACCTTTGAATTGCCTTCAAATGCTAGCCAAAGGTCCAAAGTTTAGGGAAGTTTCTGGAAGATTCCTTATTTAAAAATCAGTTTTAAGATTAGTTTTGTCCTTTTAAAATAATTATAATAGTTATGTGCTAAACAGATTTTACTTAATTATCAGGAAATTGGTATAGAGAATTTCTTTATGATACACTGAATATACCAGTAATAGGTAAATGCTTTTTACTTTCTGTCCTGTTTCTCCCTTGTCCTATTTTTAAGAACACTCCTGAGCTATATCACTAACATGAGGCTTTATGGACTAGAGTATAATTGAATAGCTGATTTGGCTAAATGGAATGGCTTGAGGGCTTTATAAAAATGGTTTGACTATTCTTTTGTTTTCTGAAGTGTTCTTGTTTATTATTTCATTATACTTACTGTTATTGGGGTTAACACTATAAAAGAATGGCATAAAAAATAATACCATATGGGCTGGAGATATAGCTCAGTTGGTAGAGTGCTTGTCTTGTATGCACGGGGCCCTGGGTTCAATGCCCAGCACCACAAATAATAATAATAATAATAATAGTAATAATAATAATGATAATGATAATACCAGAGGGGCTTAGATTATAGCTCAGTGGTAGATCGCTTACATGGCACCTGTGAGGCACTGGTTTCAACCCTCAGCACCACATAAATATAAAACAAAGGTATTGTGTCCATTTAAAACTAAAAAAAAAAAAAAAAAAATTAAAGAGTAAAAACAATTCCAAGTTTAACATATATGAAGATTTGAGAAAACCCATGAAAATGGTTGTCAACAAACGTGAAGGAATTTGGGAAGCTAGAAAGGCTTCTTCACAGTGAGTGAATTTCTTGAAGGAAGTGCTATGGATTGCCTAGATGTGATAACTGGTCAGAGTCCTAGTTTTGTTTGTGTGAGGTTACTACCTTCTAGTTTTGTGTATGTCTTTTTATTTAGATTTAAAATGAGACTTGACCAGGATGCGCAGTGGTCAATACTAGCAAGTTCAGGAGGCTCAAACTGAGGGATCCAGGTTTTCGGGTCAGCCTCAGCAATTTAGTGAGATCCTGTCTCTCTCTAAAAAAAAAAGACTCAGATGTAGCTTAGTGGCAAAATGCCCCTGAGTTCAATCCTCAGTGGGGGTGGGGGGAGACTTAAATATTTGCAATATTTTTTTTTCTTTGAAATAGTATCTTGATCATCATAAATTCCATAGGTCAAAGGGAATTTCTTTTTCTTTTTCTTCTAACTTCCTCCTTCCTCTGATCTATTTCTTTTTATGGCATTGCCATTCTAAACACTTTACAAATGGTAAAACTTGACTTTTTTTCTTCTGCCATTACTTCCACAATCAGTCAATTACTTTGCCCTAGCAAATAAAACTTTTTGGGCGGGAATCAGAGACTTTTCTTAGCCTGGCCACAAACTACTTTTCCATATTTTTTTTTAAAAATACATTTTTTAGTTGGAGATGGACATCATGACATTTATTTATTTATTTATTTATTTATTTATTTATTTATTAATTATGTGGTGCTGAGGATCAAACCCAGTGCCTCATATGTGCTGGGCAAGCACTCTGCCACTGAGCCATAACCCCAACCCTACTTTTCCATTTTTATCTTCTTTATTCCCATACATGTGTGAATAAGACTTTTATAATAGTTCTTTTTATATATTTATATAGTTCCCTTGTTCTATTTTAATCATTTTGAGGAATGAACTTTTGGTCCTGTAAGTGTTTTTCGTGGCATCTTATAGTAGTAATATTCAGTGAGTAGTTTGAAATGAATTAGTGACTGTCAGATCAGRCTGGGCAGGCAGCAACCAGTGACTATTCAAGTCAATCATTTTACTTTCCTTAGTGTAAAACTCTCAATTGTAAGTTAATAAATGTTTTTGGAAGTTAACTGAAGTAATATAAAATACTATCTACTCTACCCTCTCTATTCTTTTTCCACATTTGCACCCTCCCMTCTCCACTTGGAAACAATTCTCTTTCTGAATAAAGCTTGTGTTTCCAAACTAGAGGATTGTTTCTCTTCTGTGCATTTGCACTGCATGTAAACTGTATCATAATTGCCTAATGACTGGTTTCACTGTAGCTGTATTCTACAGTTAACTCCTCAGGGGCATGGTTTTATCTGGCATATGTGTAATAGAACTCATTATTGATTTGTTGTATAAAATAGTCTATAAATGGGGGCATAAACATTGAGAGTATAGTGAATTCTTTATTTGGTTACCCTCAGTGCCTTTTTGTACTCTATTCTGGGTCTGTTTCCTTGAATTAAGTATTTCCTTTACTATTTCAGAGTGGCAGAGCCTTGTCCTTCAARAGAAACCGTAAATGTCCATAGTATCTAGTACAGAGTGAACATTCAGGATGGCCGTGCTTAGGGTAATACAGTTGGACCTGACATTTCTGTCTAATGTAATTAGGCTACTCTTCGATATAAAGCTTCTTTTTGACAGAATTGTGAATGATATGAACTGAATGAGGCTACTGGCCTTATTATTGGTATAGCACTTAGTCTGTAGGCATGCCTGTGTTGTATGTTCCACATTTATTGTCTGTTGTGTCAGGCATTGTCATTAGCAAATACTTGTAGCAGATATCTCTAATCTGAATATTTATATCCCACCATTCTGTTTAGTTCAAACATCTGTTTCATAGTGTTAATGGCTGAAAACAACAAATATTATTTCTTTCCATTCTGTAAATTGCTGGCATTATCTGAGCTCTCTTGTATAGCTTTACTTGGCTGAGCTTAGCTGGGGACTAGGTACAGCTGAGGTGACTGCATCTCATCATGTGCCCTTTTTTTCTGGGCTTCTTCACAGATTGGTGATCTTTGGGTTTCAAGAGAGTAAAGCCTCAAGTGCAAGTGCTTTGCAAGCATCTGCTTGCACCCTATTTGTTCATATTCCTTGGGTCAGAGCAAGTCGCCAAGCCTAAAGTCAGTGTGGGAGGATTGTACAAAGGCTACATAGGCTACATAGGCATGTTTCATTGAGAGCACTTAAAAACTTTTGGTTTTATATTTTAACCAGTACTAGAGACTGACAGTTTCATTTCATAATGGTTGTTTCTGTGTGAAGAGTGAAATGAAGCTGTTGGGTATTATAATTCAGTACATTATGCCCCCCCCCTTTTTAAGAATGTTTCATGTTACTTAACTAGACATTTTGATGGTAGTTTTTGTAGATGTAGAGGATCTTAGATCTGGAAGTTACCTACAAAGTTCCTTTTAGGTAAAGAAACAGGTTCAGAGATGAGAAAGGATTTGTCCAAGATCACACACCTAGTAAGCAGCAGTGCTGGAACCAGAATTTTTGTTCCTGAATTTCAGTTCTGAGGCACTTAGAGTATTCTAAACTACCCAGGTGGCAGGCAGAGTATAGTTTAAGTTCTTAGTCAGGCTTAAGGAATTATTTCAAGGGTTCATCAGTGAAGGTACCTTTCAATAATGCTAAGAACTTATCAGCCTAATTATATAACCTAGAACTTATTCCAAGTGTTGGTAGCATGTGAGTTAAAGTTTCTTCAGTGATGATGTGTGAGATTTTTATACCAAAACATTTTACATATGATTGATGTGAGGCAATAGGAAATAAATGCTATAAATTGTAAAAGCTACATTTTAATCTTATTAGATTCAATTTTTGAAAGGAATTTAAAAAATAGTTGCTTTTAACTGATGTTAGGCTTCTAACTCTGAAGTTTAAGTATGCATAGCCATAGTATTAAAATATTAAAGGCCTATCTTGATAAAATAATTTTCTTCTTCTAGAATTGGAGGCATATGCTGGAGTTATCAGTGCACTTCGGGCACAGGGGGATCTCACCAAGGAAAAGAAAGATCTTCTTGGAGAACTCTCAAAAGTTCTTAGGTAAATTATCATAAAAGTTTGGGTGATGTGACTCTAGACATTTCATTTTGAGGGGGTTCATTACTTTTCACTCTAAAGTTGAAGAACAGAGGTATTCAAATTTTTAGTGCTTTGAGATCCTATTTCAGTTTGTGTGCTTCGTTACAGAAAATTGTGTGACTTACCCTTTATTTTGTAATCCACTCAGAAAGGGTATAAAGCAGGCTATTTTAATTTTGGACCTCTTGGGAAAGGAAGATACTTTTGACATAGGTGAAGGAAAGAAAAGGTGGCAGCAAATGAATGTAAGATCTAGAGTTGGAGGGAAGAAAGGGATGCAAGGAAGATACCTGATATGAAAGTGGGTGGTACTATAATCTTACACAAACTGTCCCTTCTGCTTTACTAGAGTGGTACTTGAATCCAGTAAAAAGTTATGGTGAAAGGTATTCTTTGGTACTTTTGTCTTGATCCATTCTAACATCTGGAGCGGTTTTTAGAAAATGTTTTCTAAATTGAAATTTGCTTTCTGCATTTAAACCCATTTTGTCTTTTTTTTTTTTTTAAGTGAAAATATGGAAGAGGCTCGTCCTCTTATTTCACATTAATATAGGGGTATTGTTGAGCCAAATTCTCAGTCTTATTGTTTGTTGTTTATGTTTCCTCATGAATTTTGCTTTTTAGCCGTTTAAATGTTTTGGTCCATGGTACACCTTTAGCTTTAAGTAGTAAAGAATTTAAGTACTTAAAGAATTAAGTAGTAAAGAGTGGTATTTATTTTATTATTTATGAATAGAATGGGTTTTTCTTTTAAAAAAATGTTTAGTATTAACTTTATATGTATTCACTGCAGGCAAAGGATCAATATAAGCACATTTTTACCACTGTTAACATACAAAAATGTAGATGATAGCTGAAGTAATGAGTAATAAAATATTTTTGCCCTGGTGTTAAGTTTCATAGCACATAGCATTATATTGCCACTCTCATTTCTTTATTATGTTCACTAAACATGAATTATGGACACTTAAGCTTTAGGAAAGATCTTAGAAGATTTTGTTCTAAGTCCCAAATCTTCTTTTCATGCATTCAGGCAATCAGCATCATGATTAGGAGGTCATTGAATATCTGTTTGCGTATTTAGATAAATAGAAACTCTGCTAATCTTGTCCATGACCAAAGATTTCTAAGATTTGGAAGTAATGCCTTGATGGATAGCAGGCTGATTTATCTGCCTGTAATTTCTAGTTTACAGCTATTTTTTTTTCTTCAGTTAACACAGAATCAGTATGAATCCTTTTCTAAAACTTTGAAGCATTTAGAGATATATATTAGGCTCTTGTCTATATCTTTTCACAAAACAATCTTGTTTCCTGCCCGCAACAAAATGTTGGTTTAACCATTAATGAAAGTATAGAAGAGAACTGCCTGCTTGGCAGAGTTCTATAATGGCTATTTTTTTTCATAGCATCTCAACAGAACGCCATCGTGCTGAAGTTCGGAGAGCAGTAAACGATGAACGGTTAACAACAATTGCACATAAGTAAGCCATTAGTCATACCACCCTGATTTTTTATGACATAGTATAACATAGTTTTGAAACAGTCTTCCTATTGTGTAGCAGATTCCTGAGTCCTTTATCTTAATAACAATATCTCTATACTCAGGGATCCTGACCATAATGGTAACTGTTTATTCAATTGGTTATATTTTTTGCATTTTGTTAGTAGATAGCTGAAGGCAAGCTTGAAGTACTCAGGTCAAATCCCGTTACAAGGTAATCTCTGTTTAACCAAAGATCAACTCAGGTTAGCAGATGATACACTTACTTGAAGGCTAAGTTCAATAACAAAATAATATGCCTCCTCAAATTGAAAGTCCCTTAGAGGTTCTTTGTAATGATATTTGATATGTATGTAATTTCATAAGTAGGCATTATAACTTTGATATCTGGCTCTAATTATTTCCCATATTTTGAGATTCAGAAAACAAGACTGTAAAAGGTATGTTCTGCTTTTAAAAAATATGAATATATTTTAATTTACCTTAAAAAACCAACAAAATGATAAAGGATTCATATCAAATTCATATCAAATTTTAGATCATTAGAAGTGACAGATGGGTGGGGGGTGGTGGAGGACCGAGAGCAGGAATCAAACATTAATTGAATATGAATGGAGACAGTGCCTCCTAAAGAATAGAGTGAAACAAAATGATCCTTTCATTGTTAATATAAGATGATAGAAACATTTCATAAAATGTTATATTATACTGTTTTTAATTTTTATGTTTTAACATGAAATAAAAATAAAGGAAAAAATTCAGTGCATTTCCATAATGTGATAACTTAAACTTGTATTTAAATCAATTGGCAGAATTTGAATTTACCTTAAAGATCCTTTAATTTTATGTTGTGCTTCACTGTTCCTCATTTTACTTAACACATAAAATGGGGTGCTGTCTTTTTAACAGCATAGTTTGAAAGTTGAGCTGTTAATCCTGCAATTTTGAGATTCTTCAGTGGGAGGTATGCACTGTAGAAATTTGGAAATTTTCTATTAGAGACATTTAGAATTTAGTTGTTAGGGTAACATGGTTGAAACATTCAAATATTAATGTGTTCCTTCTTTAATTTGTTTCCAAACTTTTGAATTGGGATGCTCTAAAAATAATAATAACTGACCTTAGATTCCATTTTGAGAACTGGTAATAGGAAATTTTTGTGCTAGATAATAAAACAGAAAACAACAGTAGCTTGTGTTCAGAGGCACTTAGAGACAAAATTAGTACTTTAGAAGCGTTGGAACAGTATTGTGGGGCAACTAGTTGTAAGTTGATGCATCAGTATCATACTTAAAGGATAACATTTATTTAGTCTCCTTTTCCTTTTTTCCCCTTTAAAGAATGAATTTATCCTTATATTTGGGTGAAAGACCAAGTTACAGGTATGCAAATAGGTTATTATTATTTCAGGCTTTTTCTTGTATTTATTTCCAAATTGAAGCTCTCAATTATTCAGGGGCACATCATTCCATTTATTAATTAACCATGCCCCTTGCTTTTCCTTCTCTTCCCCTCCTCCCCTTCCTAATATTGCCCATCCTTTAGCCATTTTGCTGCTTGGGAGTACCTCTAGTCAGAGGGTGGGAAGGGAGAGGAGGAGAAAATTTTAATTAGTCATTTCACTACTTGTTAGTTGTCCTGGAAAAGATTTGATGGAAGAATTTACTAGTATTTGCCAAAATATTTTTGGATAATATATGGCTTTCTTTAATCTATATGACCTCTCCCTTTCCCTCCTCTCTCCATTAGCATGGATAATTGAGAGTTGGCTTTTATCTGCCTGTGTTTCCTCTTTTTTTCTCTCCTTTCTGATTTCTTTAATATATGAATTTCATTTTTTGAAGAGTTTACTTCAGTGTATAATTTTAAGCTTCTTAGGTCTTTCTATATTCCTGTTTTAATATTTTACATTGTGGTTTTGGTTTGACCAGATGTATTTATTTGGTGAGCCCAAGGGTGAGTGGGGACTGATGACTGCCTTCTTCTGAGAAGTAGCAAAGAGCCTAGTTCCAAAGATTATCTATGGGAGGGCTTCATACTCTTGAGTTTGAAAAAACAACTAGAGGAATGCATCTGAACTGCCTACATTCCCTTTCTCCTCTCTTTTCCCTCCCCCACTGACTACAGCAGTTTAGGCCAGAAAGAATGTGGTTGAAAGGTGATTGGAAAGCCCAGAAGAGATTGAGCACAAAGGAAGGAGAACAAAGGGATCAAAAGTGCGGTGTCTGGGATCAAAGTGAAGCCATGCTTGTGGTTTAAAGCATAGCACGTGTTTATTGTTTAGCACCAGGCCACTTATTAAGTTTGATACTATAATTCAGTTTTGAATTATAACAGAATATTAAAGCTTCAGATTTTTTTTTTGTTGTTGTTGTTGGGCCATTCTTGCCTGCTTCGTCTCTACAGTAAGAATAAAGTGKCTGTCTGGAATTTCTGCCCTCTTTAATCCTTTCACCATCAGTCACTTGTTCCCAGGATACTTGTGTTTCTATATGAGGATGAGAATTTCTTATTGGTGGTACCCAACACACCAAAGGATTGATGTGAGGGTCAAGGTAGTTTCATTAGTATCATTTTAGATTTCTTAGAATAAGGCCTAGAGCAAGGTTTCCACCTTCCTTTGTCCTACTTAGTATAAATAGAGAGGCATGCTTACATCTATACCAAGATATCCCGTGAAGCCCTTCAGTAAGATATTCACAGTTTGTAAATTCAGTTTAGATGACTTGTGTAAACTAATGCATATTTACACCTTCATTACTAAGCAAATAGGAATTTTGATCTAATTCTAACACAGTATTTAATATTTCACTTACTTAAAAAAGTTTGAGCATGCTTGCATGAGTGGAAATTTGGAAGATTTATAGATCTAAAAAGTTGCAGTTGTGCCTTTCGCACCGTAAGTTTGTCTTTTCAATAGCATATATTCATGTGCGTCAGATTATTAATCTTCCATAATTTCTGCCACCATTTAAACAATGCACCAGGTAAGTGTAGATATCACTTTGTGTGGTAACTCACACCACGCAAGTTTATTAGGGATTCTCTAATAAAATGTTAGCAAAATAGAAGTAAGCCAATAAATATTAAGTAGCTTTTAGAATTTTTTCCTTAACCAGTTAGCTATACTCTTTTCTGTCTTATTCATGCCACTTTTGTTTTCCAACTAGTATCAATGTGGATCTTATGTAATTTGTGAGGCTTATCAGGGTTTCAGGATCTCCTCTTTTCTTTGTCTTAGATAGGACTGTGTTACATTATGAGGGAATTTATAGATTTTCCACAGTAACACATGTTGACTCCTCAATTTCTAGAAAGTCCTTTCTGAACTAATGTCCTTCTTAAGCTGTGAAGTAATTTATTCTATTCAGTGAAAGTTGGTAGTCATTAGACAACAGTGCACAAATTGGTGTAAATCAAGGGCAAAAGTTAGACATAAAAGCCATTTGGAAAATTTTATATTTTCTACTTATGTAAGCAGATAATTTCAGCAGCATGTTGTATGCTTGTTGAAGGAGACATTTATTAGTTGTGGGATCTTAGGCAAGTTATTGCACTGGTCTGTAACTCAGTTTCTTCATCTATAAAATACAGATAATAAGACTATCAACTTCATAGATTGTTGAGAGAATTACATGAGTTAATACACGTAAAATGTTTAGAATAATGCCTGATATGAAGTCCTTAATTGATTTTAATTATCATTGCTGCCATCATCATTATCATCATCATTGTCATAATTCCACCGCCCACTAACAAGGGCTTTTGTGTAGTCTATCTAAATCTAAAGAATCAGTGAATATACAGAATCTTAAACTCTAGGTTGGGTTGTATAATCTGTGGTTTCAAAAAAAGTCCAGATATTTCTGATTTTGTGAAGAGATCAATTGTTTCTGGATAAATCATTAGGGTCTTTCATGGAACCAAATTAAGAGAACTGATAATGTCTTTTGATATTGCAATCTCTGGTCAGATTCCTGGAACAAAACTTGCTCAAGAATTTAGGGTAGAAAACTAATAGTGCTGTCTGCCTAGAGACAGTCAAATTGCCTCAAATCTGTCTTRGAGTGAAGGGTGGTATCAACAAATAAATATAAAATAGCAGCAGATTTCTTTTACCATCCTCATATGTGGTCTATTTTTAATAGGAAATTAATATAATAATCTGATGAACATGGACAGTGACACATACTGTCATACAGCTGTCTTCTTCCTTTACTACTTATTAGTTCCCCTCGTTTACTGCCTCAGTTTCCCTTGTTTGAAAGCCTTTAGAACCTCTGGCCATTCAGGCAGTTAGATAATTCTGCAAAAGTTCAGTGAATTCTATCCTTAATTATTAAAGAAAATCTGATTTTTTTATGAGCACTTTTTATTTTCTTGGTTTAAGTATAAAATAAAGTTCTAAGAGTTAGTAGAAATAACAGTTTTTATTAGTGAAAACATTTAAATTAATGAAAACAAAATATTTAGAAGGCAAGAAAAATTTCATATTATCAATTATGTTTATTATAAGATTGAGATTATAGAATAAAATGTATAAAATCTAAGTGTATGATATCCCTTGTATTCATAAGTTTGATCTTGCTTGCTTAAAATAAAGCCTCTCCTATTCATTAAGAGTACTTTTTGTAATTTAAAAAGTTATGTTTATTTGATTCATTTTTAATAATTGAGAACCCTTGTAGCAGCATTTTCTCTTTTGTTTAGTATGTCTGGACCTAATAGCTCCTCAGAATGGTCCATTGAAGGTCGTCGGTTGGTACCACTGATGCCCCGGCTAGTTCCCCAAACTGCCTTCACTGTAACAGCTAATGCTGTTGCAAATGCAGCCATCCAGCACAATGCATCCCTTCCAGTGCCTGCAGAAACAGGAAGCAAAGAAGGTGAGTAGAAAAATAATTCTGTATTAGTAATTACTTTTCCCAGAATTTTCAATAAAAGTTATCTTATTTTTCATCTATWTTTGTCCCAGTATTTAAAGGTTATAATGGATAACTATTCTGAAACTAAAAAACTACCAAGTTTTTAGCCTCAGCCCAAATTAAATCTTCCTTTTATTGAAAATGTGAATTATGTTAATATAAAATTGCAAAAGCCTTCTTGGGATGAATTTTTGACATCAGTGTATCTTGTTAGAAATGGGTAGAAGACTTTAATGGAAGGCATTAGAAAATAAATAAGATGGCAAAAGTCATTCAGGTGCTGGAAAAAAAAAAAGATACTAAACTAATTTCTTTAGAAAATAGAACTCTCTCTTTTTTTTTTTTGTCTTCTGGAATCAATGGTATATACCTCCGATCTGTTCTAGTCAGTGTGCTGAATCCATTACCTGGCAGATGGAAATACTTTCTCATTGTTGTTTAATCTAGTCATTGACACATGCTTTAAAAATTCTTGAATTCTCCTGAGGCCACTAAGAGTCATATTAAATTTGAGACCATATTTAAATTGACTGTAGTAGTTTAGGCTGGTTTTGTAAGACAACAACCCTGAAAACAATGCATTTTGTCAGACTATGAAGAATTGCTTTTTCTTGCCTACCCATGGGCTATGGAGCAGAATGAGATACTTCATGCATGCCAGGTTCTCAAGGAAGCTGTATTTGCAGGGAAGTAGTTATTAGTGTGCAAAACTTAGCCTCCACTTGGTTCCAGCTTTCTCTGTTGTTGGAGAGGCATCTTTCTTCTCTTCCCACTTTTGCCTTTTCCACCTACCAACTGTGGTAGAGTGGAAAGAATATATGATTTCCAGTAGTCAAATCTATATTTGAATCTGAGTTTGCCATTTCCTAGTTTTGTGACTGTCAGCAAGTCTTAGCATCTGTGAGCCTTTGATCCTCTCTAAAATGAGGATTCGGTGGTGTGAAAATTAGTGATAATGTATGGAGAGGATTTGGCATATAGTGCATGGTATCCAGTAAATGGTGCCTATGAGCTATTATTCTTGCTGTTGTTGAGCTGTATCCCTTCACTGAATGACAAAGAGGTTGAAATTTAATGTTGTCATTATTTTAGTGAGTTACTGTTGTACCACTTGGGTGACAAATGACTAGTGAGTTGGCTTATATAAAAGAACCTTATCTTGGTTCTTCTGGAAATTGCTATGGTTAGGGAAGAATTATCCATCACCCCGTCTTTGATGCCATTAGTATTAAAAGGGAATACAAATATGTGTCGTTGTCCAACTCTTGCCATGAATGAAAAATGATTTTCATTTTTTTCTTAGTATAGCTTTGAGTTTGATTTCTTTGTAGCTGTGTTTTCCATTGGCAAAGTCACCTGCAGATAAACTGTTAAATATTTTGGGGAAACTCCTTTAAGTGATGATTTTCAGGATAATATCTTTTAATCCATGGACCTAATACCTAATACTGGCCTCTAATCTCTGATCACATGAAAATAATAAAATTGGCCTGCAATAAAAATAATTTTTCTGTGTGCCTGGGCAATTTTGGTAAAAGTTAACAGCAAACTTTTTTATCGTTCCTTCAGTAGTGGTTTGTTATTCCTACACAAGTACCACGTCAACCCCAACCTCTACCCCTGTTCCAAGTGGCAGCATAGCAACGGTTAAGTCTCCAAGACCTGCCAGTCCTGCCTCCAATGTAGTTGTCTTGCCAAGTGGAAGTACTGTTTATGTCAAAAGTAAGTGATACTCTCAGTGTTATCAGGGCCATCTTGGCTAAATACTGCAGCATAGGCTCCAATTAGAWCTGCTTCCTGGAATAAATCATCAGGCCACTATTAGCAGTGGTTAGTTTTCAAAGATTCTAAAGAATTCCTTTCTTACATGTGACCAGGAATATACTGCTTTCAAATCAGTTCTGGGGTTTGAAAAATAACTTCTCTTTTGTTCTCTCTGGGGAATCTGCTTTGAACGTGCTATCCTTCAAGTTTTCACTTGTTTTGATTGTCATGGAATAGAAGTGTGAATAGAAATGGAAAGAATGAGCTTATGTGATTTATTCAATGTCTATTCCTATAATTGTAATCTTTGTAGTGTTTTATATTTCATATAAAATATTATCTAAATGTTAAATTCAGTGAAGCATTCTATAGTCTTTTATATTTCTACTTGGTTGTAACTTTTAAAAAAGTTTTTATTTTTGTGATTTTTAACTCCTTGATTCTACCCTATGTAGCATTCTGATGTGCTGTTAGCTTTTTGTTTTTTTTTCTGTTTTTTTTTTAGTGATACTGTAAAAAGTTATTTTACTTAAAAATAATTTTGTTTTTTGTTTCGCTTTTGATGTCAACTGGAAATCATTAGCATTTGCTTTTCATTTTACTCAATGTAGTTGTAAGGTGAATTTGTAACATTTAGAAGTGAGTTTGCTATTTTAGATAGAGCTAATTCTAGATCATTGTCAGCCCTGTTTAGTGTCTAAACATTAAAGGCATAAAGAGTTACATTTTATTACCAACCCATGAGTTATAATGTAAAATTTTTTGTAAGTCTTCCCTACACCTCCTGTGTAGGTTGCTATGTATATTTCTAATTTGATTTTTAAGAAGTCTACAAATACAGTTGAGGTTTTTAGTGCATAAAGAATAAACTGAGAGCCTTGGACTATTAATAAGTTTATAATTGATTTCTGTGGATTTAGCCAAGGTGGTCTTTTAAAATAACTCTACAAACCCAATTTTTGACCATTAGTTTTTAAACACTGGAAGTGAATTCCAACATGAATAAACCATTTCACAAAGCATGCAATTTTAAATAAGAAGTATATTGCTTTATACTCAGAAATCAGACTAAATGACATCAGTTTAGGATACAATCAATTGTTGATTTACCTAACTTTGTATGTGTAAGGCGCTATACTGGGGAAACCAACCCGTAAGATTTAGTTATTTCCTTCTGGGAGCTTTTTAATAATGGGAGATATGCCCATAAGTAGTCACATTGCCATGTGATAAGTGGTACAGAAGAGAATTTACAAAGTGCTTTGTAAGTTCTGAGGAGATGTAGATTAGCTTTGCTTAGAGGAGTAAGGGAAAGCTTCACTAAGGAAATAGTTTGCAGGATGATGAAGAGGTCTTTAATGGTCTTTGTTTTTCCCCAAAGAACAATCCTACATAGAGACCCAGAAATTGAGTATCTCTGGGGAATGATGAGTAGTTCAGTATGCCAGGATTATAGAGGTGTCCAGGATCAGATGCACAAGGCATTATGTTTTTGGAAAGATATGGGGCCTTTAATGATATGGTAGTGATTTTGTGCCACATYTTACAGGGAGCTAAAACTACTAAAGAATTTTTAGGCAGTGAATTTGTCATGATTAGATGTGAAATTTAGTAACCAGTAAAAGGATGGAAGGTAGAATACAGGTGGAAAGACTGGAAATACCAACATCTTTTAGGAGGTGATTGCTAAAATACAGGCAGGAGGTAAGAAGGCTTGACATGGAGAAGTGGCTAGAAAAAAAGAGGGAGAAATTTCAGGGCTCCTTGGTTGTTTGGACAAAAGGCAAAAGGAAAGGTCAAGGATGACTTGATCACAAACAGGTTTTAAAGATAAGTATAAAATACAGTATTAGTTTGATATAAATATAACAATATTATCATTGCCTTTCAGGTGTTAGCTGTTCAGATGAAGATGAAAAACCCAGAAAACGAAGGCGAACAAACTCCTCTAGCTCCTCTCCCGTTGTCCTAAAGGAAGTTCCAAAGGCTGTTGTTCCAGTCTCAAAGACCATCACTGTGCCTGTGAGTGGCAGTCCCAAGATGAGCAACATCATGCAGAGTATTGCCAACTCCTTACCACCCCACATGTCTCCTGTGAAAATAACCTTCACCAAACCATCAACACAAACGACAAACACAACAACACAGAAGGTATGTAGTGGAGGGAGTCTCTACCAGTTTTTCTTTCCATCGCTTTGGGAAAGTATGATTTTGATTTAACAGACTTGCACGGAGTGCTTACTGTGTGCTTGGCATTATGCTGGGAATGTTCACATGTCTTACTTGTTTAATTCTGCATGTAAAACTTGAGATAGGTATTATTATTTCACTTTTTGTATATGAGACTTAGATGTGGAATGATTTGCCTAAGGTGACATAGCTAGCAGGTATACTTCTAGACTTGTGCTCTATTTGATAATTGTAATGTCTTTTGGAAAAAATTTGAAATAAAAAAGTTTTTTGAACTTAACAGTAAGCTTACCTTTAGGAACTCATTTTTTTTCTCTGTCAGATAATGAAGCTGTCAGAATAGGTGTTTCTTAGAAAAATGGAGGAGTATAATTAAGTGAATAATTGTTATTTTCTTTTTTATTCTTTGAATGCTATCATGAATGTGTTCCTAAGCTCTTCCCTAGGTATGTTTAAGACCTCAGTATTCTGTCAATTTCATGTTATTAGAACCCCCAGTCTTCCCACACTAATGTGGACTCATGGCTTTCTAGGCTTGTTGTGCACCTGTATTTCTGGAATCTCCCTTTACCATCATTCTGATCGTCCCCTCTTTTAGTTTATGCATTCATTTTTCTAGAGCATATTTTCTAGTAGTTTTCTGGTGTATGGGTAGATGACAAGTCAATTTCTTGAGACTTTGCATGGTAGAGTGCAAAATTTTTTTTTCCTACCCTTTCACTTTCCTAATGGTTTAGTTAGGTAAAGTGTTGTAGGCTGGAAATCATTTTTCTTGTAGGCTTTTAAGATATTGTTCCATTGGCTTCTGGCTTCCACTGTTGCTTTTGGGAAACCCAGTGCCATTCTAATTTCAAATCCTGTTGTCTTTGAAAACTCTCAATAACTTTCAGAGTTCTGAAATTTCAAGGTAATGTTCTTTGATTTGGATCTTCATTTTATCCATAAGCTTGTATCCTCAGTGAGCCTTTTCATTTTAAATATTTATGTTCTTCAGGACTCAGACATTTCTTGAGTTACTTCTTTTTTTTTCCCCCATTTCTTCTTTTTGCATCATCTATTATTTAGGATGTTGAACTACCTGAATTGATCCTGAAGTTTTCTTATTTCTTGTCATTCCCATTTTCCATTTGCTTCCCCCACTCCCCATTTTTGCATAGTTGTTAAAAATTTGAATTCTGGAAGCAGACTTTGTGGATTCGAATCCCAGCTCTTGCCACTTCTTAGATATATAACTGTGGGAAAACTAAACTGTATAATAAAAATTCTTATCTATAAAATAGAGAAAACAATATATTTTTTAGGATTTGGGGATATAAATAAATGAGATAATTTATGTAAAGCTATTTGAATACAGCCTAGTGCATAGTAAATGTTCTGTAAGTATTGTTAGTGTATTCTGATCTTTTAACCTTCTTCACTATTTGTATGGAATTTTTCATTTTTGCTTGTCATACTTTTAATTTCTAGTAACTCTTTCTTCTTCTCTGAAAGTTCCTTTTTTTAATTGAAATAGCATGTTGCTAAAGATTCTATGAAAGCTTAGAATCATTGTATTATTTTACTTGATGATATTCATGATAATTTTTTTCACGTTCTGTATCTTACTTGTAAGTTCCTTTTTATCTATTTGTTTTGATCTTTTTCATTTCAGAATTTCCTTAAGTGTCTGGCTGTCTATTTATATATGAAAGTGGGAACTAAAGAAGACAGAAATCTGTCTATATGAGTGGGGCATGTTGACTGGTAACTTTTTAAATATTTTTTTAGTTGTAGGTGGACACAATACCTTTATTTTATTTATTTATTTTTATGTGGTGCTGAGGATTGAACCCAGTGCCACATACATGTGAGGCAAGCACTCTGCCGCCGAGCCACAATCCCAGCCCCGACTGGTAACTTTTTTGTGAATTTTCCTAGCGGCTGTTTTGTTAAGAAACACTATCTTTTTATCTCCAGCACTTGTCACTGTTTTTTAGGGCTTTTTTTTTTATTGGTCAGATTCCTCAGAGAAGAATCTTCCAGTCTCCTGCCTTGAGCAGTATAACTCTAACTGCCARTATTTGAGATTAACTAGAAGAAGAGGTCTGGATAAACTCATTATATTGACTTGACTTAATCTATTTTCAGGATAACACCAGCCCACCTCAGCTATATCTAGTGTTATCAGATTCCTTCAGATTTAGTCCTTCTCTTGAGACAGTGAAGTCCTAGTCTTCCTTGAGATTTTTAACTAATTTTCCTCTCTTTAGTCCCACTTTTATTCTCACTTCAGAAGTGTCTGGTGTTCTTAATTCCTGAGTCTTTCTGGGATATTCAGGGGTTTTTTGTTTGTTTGTTTTTTTCTTGCTCTTTTGTTTGCTGCCATAGGTTCCCACTTTCTTGGGTATGCTTGATCCATTACTTGTCTGTTTTGCAGTTTCCAAAACTTTGTAGCTGTGTCTCCCTCTCTCTTTTTTCTTTTAAGATAACATCTTACCATGTTGCCCAGGCTGTCCTTGAACTCTTGGGGCAGAAATGATCCCCCTGCCTCAGCCTCCCACTTAGCTGTTTTTTGTTTTAACTCTACAAGATTTATGTGCTTTTTCCCCCTTAATAAACAAACAAACAAATAAATAAATACAAACCCCACTGTTTTAGAGGGATTATGGGGAAGGAGTAGACATAAATTCTGTTCAGTGCATGGTATTTCCACTTTCGAATCTTTAATTTCATGATAACTTTATTAGAATCTCTTTGAGTTTTCTGAAACAATATCATTACATAATATATAAATTATTCTTAATGACTGGAAGTGATAAATGGAGCTGGTTTTATTTTCAGTCCGAGGATAAGTGGTTATAGTATAGTATTAAAATCAAGCAAGAAATTTTGTTTCAGGAGTCTTGGGTTGGAAATCCAGTTTTCCAGCGTGAATTCAGATAAATCAGTCTTTCTAAATCTTTTTCTTTATCTTTGAGATGAGAGTAATGCCCATCTTAAGAGGTTTTTGTGAGGATTAAATGAGATTGGGTAAAGTGAAATATAAGGTATGTACTAAAAGAAGGTTAGCTTCCTTTCTGTCTCTTTCTAGGTGTTTTATAGAAAGTAGTGTTTTGTTTATCTACACTGTTGGCAAGGAGTTATTCCAAATTAAGTAAGTTTATCAGTTTTCCGAAGCTTATGGCTTGATGTGTTAAAACTAACTATTTTGATGAATCTTTAAATGTCATACTGAGCATAATTTTTATATTTTATTTGATGACACTTAAGATAATCCTTCTGAATGTTACTTGTTATATAGTATTTTAGTTCTTGTTTTCTGAGCTGGTCCTAGATTAGGTGGCATTAGCCTGCTATATTTTGAATTGCTAAGGCTATTTACTGTAATGTTTTTACTACCTTYATTACTGGATCTTATTATATCAGTAGTAATTCTCTCTTCCTGTCTTCTATTTTTAAAAATGTTGTATCTGAGAAATAGCATAGTAACCCATAGCTAAAAGAGCACCTATCTCTGATTCATATCCGTCTGCTCCCTTACTGTGTTTTATTTTTATTCATTATACTTATGAATAAAATGACACATTATAGTTTAAACTTGCTTATTTTCTATTTCTTCTATATAATATATGCTACTGAGGATGGAGACTTTGTCCTATTCATCACTGTATTCTCTAGTGTTTAGAATAATGCTTGGTATGTACTAGTTGCTAATTAATATTTGTTGAATGAGTGAATTAATTAAAACGAATAAATAGATCTGGTTCCAATACTAGCTCTGCTACTTCCCTAGAGCCTCAGCTTCTTTGTAAAATAAAGATAATAATAGTACTTCTTGAGTTATTAGGAGAATTAAAAGGGATGATTCTTGGAAAATACTTAACATTGTACTTTATGTCACCTAACATTATTAACTTTACAGTCTTTCTTTCTTGGTAGACTCATGTAAAAATGCTTATAATAGCTGGGGTTCATGTGTAAGTGATGCCTGTAAACTAAGTTTCTTTTAATTCATTGATTTTAGTATGTCTTTATTTTATTCTTTCGAATTTTCAGTTGAGAGTGGGTAGTTAAGTTTATCAGGCTTGTGGTACTTTTAAGACGGCACATTTATCTCCAAAGTCACTTATGAGCCATACCATGAAATTTCAGATTCAAAATCTTAGATTTGTTTACTGTATTTAAAGCTAAACATTAAAGGGAGATTAAAAAAAAAGACTCATTTATTCTACAAGTAATTATTGAGCATCTACTAAGTTCCAGAGGTAAAACTCTTCTACTTCATGTGTACTCAGTGCCATCAGTTTTATTATTTCTTGGTCAAGTGAAGCATGGGTTGGACTACTAAATATTCTGTGGCTGTTTTATTCTTTTGTTGTCCTTTTGCTGGGTAATTGGATTTCCTTGGAATCTATCCAAGGCTGTTGTCATTATTGCATTTGCCTTGAATTTCTCCCAAATCTTGTATAAGTCAACTTAGGCATTATTTTAGGTAAAGTGACTTTTAAATTAAGTATAATTATTTATCAATTTGTGGACTTTATTCAAATTCAGATAAGTTGTTCGTTTTCAGAGTAGACAAATCTCCACCTTTAATTAATGTGGTGCCTTAATTTTAAATATAACATTGGTACAGCACTGATATAAACAAAGCAGCAGAATATAGCTTTATGCTTTCATGTGCTTGATTGATATTTTTCATTTTGTCCTTAGGGTGCAAGTCCCAGCACTCTTAAGGAGTTTTTGTGAGTGCTAGAAGGTCAGTAATTTGAATTATGGCCTGAATAAACTGTTTGGTTCACTTGGTTTCAAAATCCCTTTACTTCCCTATTGTAACAAGTAACTTTAAAGTGCAAGTAGATTTCCCCATGGTGGATCTCTAATTTTGGGTAGCGTCTTTACAGATCAGAAATCATCTTGCACAGTGATCTCAAAATATGCTTTATCATTTGTATCTATAACCTAAAATGTGCTCTTAAAGACTCCAGATTTATTTTGCTGAAATTTTTGTTGTCTTAATGTTATAAGTCTACATGCATACTCTTGTTCTGAAATTGCAATATATAACAAAGTGATCTCTTCCTTTTCCCTTGCCCATGACAGAAATTGCTAATTAACTGAGGCATACTTTCCTGCCACACTGTGGTTAAATGCTCTTCTGTATCACAGTCATTATAAACATTGTGTCTCCAGGAAGATACTACTACTGGTTTAGAATTGACAAAAGTGAAACCTAATGGCTGTTGCTACTCTAAGTTTGGTTGTAGTAGTAGCTATGAGTTTTTTGGATTTTAAGGGGTAGTAGAATTTGGAGTGAAGATAAAGAAAATGTTTTTAATGAAACAAAAATGAAGCACATTTAAATACATTTCCAGATTGATTTGATACATAATGCCTTTACTGATAACCCTTTAACATTTATTATGTAGGAATAATCTACTAATAAGTACTGTTTGTTAACTGCCAAATATTGACCACCTGCTATGTGCCTAGTAAATGTTTTGCATGATTATTTTTTCTAACCCTTGTAATGATTTTTGCAAGGTGGGCATTATTATCCCCATTTTATAGATGAAAAATGGAGACCAGAGATTTTATCGTCTAGGGGCCTGCCATTTCTAAGTGGCTGAGGCAGGATCTAAGCACAGGTTCATTTGACTCTTATGTTTATAGTCCTGTTATCCTATTGGTCGTCTTCTCAGTTTGYATGATGGTTTCTTGGTGGTTGTTTTGTTTTGTTTTGTTTTTTTAAATACTATGTAGATATTTGCTGATAAAGGTGCTTATTATTCAAGACCTATCTTTCTTGACTCCTCAAATAATTACTTGTAATGGACAAGTACTTATATCTTGCAATTCTTTATAAAGCTGAAAATAAATAACATTATTATAGTTGAAGCTTCTTTGAGATGCAGATAACTGAGTACAGACTTATTTAGTACATTTTGATTGATTTAACTTCAGGCTTTCTTTACGACCAGTGTAAAAATGAAAAATAATTTCTCCCTTAAATTCTTGGGATTTTTCAAAACTTTTTTTTTTTTTTTTTTCTGTGCTGGATAGGTAAAGATAATGTCAGTGAAAGAAGAGGAAGATACTCTGTTCTGTTTTGGAAGAAGATACTCTGTTCTCTTTTGGATATTGCTAAAGGAGCATTTTTTTCACCTCAGAGTAAAACTGTGATACTACAGATTTATGAATAGTTTTAGGGTTTTCAATTATACAATGGGGATAATAATAGTATCTGTATCATAGGATTGTTGGCTTATTTTAAAAAGCCAATATATGTTAGCTCTAGGAGGTATTCTCTTTTCTATTTTTTTCCTCATCTTGCCATTTCCATTCATCAACCAGTTTTATTTTCTCTACTTCTCAGAATAATCTGAATTTGATAATTTTTTATTTGTACTATGAAAAACTTGCCTAATCTACTCCAGTAGCTTCTCACTGCTTCTCTTCTTACCTCTCACTACATAGCATCTAGAGTAATCTTAAATATGAAACCCATTTTGTTGTTTCTTTATGTAAAATGCTCCCATAATTTCTCATTATTCTTAGTATAAAATCTAAATTCTTTAGGTTTCAAATTTGATCTGGCCTCTGCTTACTCTAATCTCTCCTTGCCCTATATGCTTTTACTACACTTCCTTTTTTTTCTGTTTATAAATACATTGCTAATTCTGACATTAGGTTTTTTATTCAATACTGTTCTCTTAGTTTGAAATGCATTTTCTCAAAGCAATCTACAATTTTCTAGCCGTATAGGCTGTAAACCTTGATGTCTTTTTCCTGCCTTTCTTTTTGCATTTTTCCATACCAACCTATGAACAAATTCTGTTGGTTTTTCCTTTAAAACATATTCAGAATCTGTTCACTTTTTATGACTTCCACTGCAAACACTTTGGTCATCATCATTTCTACTTCATTTATTACAAAAGTTCCTAATTTGTCTCTGTTTCTACCTTCACTGCCCTCCTGTACTTTCTACCTATCAGATACAGTGACACTTAAAAAAGAACAACAAAATCTTATTTGTTAGAACAGCTTTAGATTTATAGAAAAGTTAAGAAGATGGAACAAAGAGTTCTCATACACCTTATACTATTTCCCCTATTAATATTTTTCATTATATGAAACATTGTTGTAATGAATAATATTAATGCTTTAGTATTAACTGAAGTCCATAGTTTATTTAGATTTATTTGGTTTTTACTTATTGTCCTTTTCTGTTCCAGGATTCCTTCCAGGATTGCTACTTTGTATTTAATTGTCATGTCTCCTTAAACTCCTTTTGACTGGAGTTTTTCAGACTTTCCTTGTTTTAGATGACTTTAACAATTTTGAAGAGTACCATTCAGATATTTTGTAGGATGCCTCACTATTAAGATTTGTGTGATGTTTTTCTCATTATTAGATTAGGGTTATAGGCTTCGGGAGAAAAACCACAGAAAGAAAGTACCACTTTCATCTCATCCTGTTGAAGGTATAAAGAGTCATCATGGTYTTACATGACCTAATCCATCATTACCTCTTTGTGGTTGTCTCCTACTGCTCTCTGCCATATAAATTTCAATCATATTCTTTAGGTTGTACCAAGCTCATTTCTGCCCTAAGGACTTTGTGTTTGCTACTACCTGTACCATCAGACACTCCTCTAGATAGAAATACGGTTCATACACCTACCTCCTGCTTTCTGCTCAAATGYCATCTTAAAGAGAGGTTTTCATTGAATACTTTGTAAAATACCATGCAGTACTCCTATCATGCTTTATTTCTTTACCTCGCTTTATTGTTCCTTCAGTTATAACTTCATGACATTATTTATTTTATATTTTCTCTCRCCATACTAGAATGTAAATTCCATGAAAGTGTTTTGTTCTTTTTCTATCCCCTGCATTTAGAACCATGCCTGGCACATAGTAGATGCTCAATATATATTTATAAATGAATGTCCAAATTACTTTTTAGAAAGATTGTGCCAATTTATACTCCCTAAGTAGTAGGTTGAAATGTTCACTCCATCTTACTGTATATTACCTTTAAAATATTTAGCAAAAATTGTTATTTTTAAATAATTTTGATGATTGCTAGTAGAGTTTTCATATATTTTTAGTTGTATATTCCTCTCTGTTGAATTTTTTTGTAGTTTATAATCTATTTCTAAGTAGTATATGAGTCTGAATGCATTTATAGTATAGTAGATATATGTGGAAATAACTCATTTTTCCTTCTTTAGGTAATTATAGTGACCACATCACCAAGTTCAACCTTCGTGCCCAACATTCTCTCCAAATCCCATAATTATGCAGCAGTCACTAAGCTTGTACCAACATCAGTCATTGCTTCCACAACTCAGAAGCCACCGGTTGTTATAACTGCTTCACAGTCCTCTCTGGTCAGTAGTAGCAGCAGTGGCAGCAGCAGTTCTACGCCATCACCTATTCCTAATACAGTTGCAGTAACAGCTGTGGTATCCTCCACACCGTCTGTAGTCATGTCAACAGTAGCACAAGGTGAGTGATTTACCATTTAATTCTGTCTCTGTTGGTGTATGGAAATTTGAAGAAAACTGGGTATGTGTGAAGATCTGTACTGTTAGATAAGTGATTACTTACTCTTCCACTTCACTCAGTTTGAGAATGTCAAATTGGTAGGTTACTCAGTTGTCTTGTATCTGACTCCTACATTCTGTCTTGTCCTTTTTTTTTTGGTTAATTTTTTTTTTCTTTTAATTGGTTTTTTATTTATCGCTCCATTTTTAAACAAAGAAGTAAACATGTATATATTGTATTTTGCCATTTTCTTTTTTTTTTTCTTTTTATACTGGGGATTGAACCACGGACGCTTTACCACTAAGCTACATTCTCAGTCCTTTTTTAATTTTTTATTTAGAGACAGGGTCTTGCTGAGTTGCTTAGGGGCTTAACTGCCCAGCAGGTTTGGAATTTTTTTGGTAGAGTTTGCTGTGTGTCATATTTTATCTGACTACACCATGTTATCTTGGAATATTTCTCTAGGATTTGGCCAATATTAATTCCTTATTCATTTTATTTACAAAAAAAGCAAAACAAAACTAAAAAAAAATGGTAGAGGCAAAATGCCTAGGATGAAAATGATTGATACTGTTTAACCAGCATATTGTTTAATATTCTTTAACATCCTAAAAGACAAAACATAGGTTATATTCTTACATTTATATATCATCTTTTCATTTACTTGGCTTTACTTTTTAGTGTTTGTTTAGGGGGTGGCTACATTTTTTCTCTGGGGCTCATGTTACAATTCAAATATTTCATATTCCTTTTTATTATTCCAATGAACTATCTGAAAGTGTATAACTTTATAAACAAAAGAGGTTTATTTGGCTCATGGTTTTGAAGATCTAAGGTCAAGGACCCTCATCTGGTGATGGCCTTCTTGCTGGCAGAGTTCCAGGATAGTGTAGCGCATTACATGACAAAAGACAGGGAGCCCAAATGTGTCTCTCTTCAGGTCTTTTTTCATGTTTTTTTTCTAATTTTTTTTTTTTATTTTTTTGGTCCTAGGGATTGATCCCAGGGTGCTTTACCACATCCCAGCCCTTTTTATTTTTTATTTTGAGAGAGGGTCTCTAAATTGCTTAAAGATTTGTTGCTAAGTCACTGAAGCTGGTCTCAAACTTGAGATCTTTGTGCCTCAGCCTCCTGAATTGCTGGAATTGCAGGTGTGTACCACTTGCCTAGCTTCTTTCCCTCCTTTTCAGAGCTATCTCCTAAATGTTCTGCCTCTAAATACCATACTTGGATTATTTCTCCCTTTTAATATATTATTTTTTGTATTAATTTTCAAAATGTGAGCCCTGTGGGGAGACACTCAAACCATATCTAAACTGTAACACACATTTATTCTGAATTACCAAAATGTAGCCTGAACTATAGTTCTTCCAAACATGGACTAATATGTTTATTTTAGTCGTGTTCACTGATATTCTTTTGGACATTCAAATGTTTAATAAATTGTTACAGAGCTCCTGGATTGCTAATACCCAATTTTACTTGCCAAGTAAGTGTTTGTAGTGGTTACAGTGATAAGTGATTGAATACATGACTTCACATAAATCTGTATTGGTTGAATGACTGATTTTTAACAAAAAGAAAATTTATTATTTCACAAAACCAGAAGTCCAGAGGAGGAACGCTTCACTTAAGTTAGGCAGTAGCATATTGACCATCAAGGACTTTTTGCTTTTCGGTTTTTTTTTTTGGTTTATCAGCTTTTTTTCCAGGTAATGCCATCATGAGCAGGATGAGTACATTACAAGTATTACATTCAGGTTTGAAAATATCCCTAGAGACTGAAGATACAATTTCCTTATTTAGATATATCTTGGGAAAGAGAAAACCTTTCCCAAAAGTCTCTGAGGACAAGATTCCCTTCATGTTATGTTGGCAAAAGTAATTGGGCTACCATGACTAGCTTAAATCAGTTAGGAATTGCCCTCTAGGGCTGGCCTTAGGGCCATTCTCCCCAAAAGTACATGCCAATATCCAGGAATATAGATCCTTACAAGAAGAAAAAAGGGTTCTGTTTAAAAGGAGGGAGGGCAAAGGAGAAAGGAAACCAGATTGACAACCAAGAGTGTGTGCTGCATTAGATTATTTAATAGATGGTCTTAGAACAATTGATTTTTCATTTGAATCTGTACATGTCTGAGATTGATAAATCTAAATATAAAACTGATTGATACAGGCTGGGAATGTGGTTCAAGTGGTAGCGCGCTTGCCTGGCGTGTGCGGGGGGACACTGGGTTCGATCCTCAGCACCACATAAAAATAAAAAAAA